ATGCTGCTCTGTAATTGACCCTGGAGACAGCCTGTGTTGTAAGCACACAGAGCAGGGCCTTTACTTTCTCCTAGCGCTCAGATCCTCATGCATTTGTCCTGAGCGACACACACCTGCCTAATCTTTGAAGGCTTCAGGTTGGCTGAGAGGTGAGAGATGCCAACTCTGATTCAAGATGCCTGTGGAGGAATCACAGGTACCACCCAGGGCAATGTTCTCTCTGTTGTCTGCACAGCAGGGTTACCCAAACCCAACATCACAAGCAACAACTCCGACCCTGTGGAGAATGTGGATTCTGTTGTAATAACGTGTGGACCTCAGACTCAGAGCACAAGCTACCTGTGGTCAGTAAACAATAAGAGCCTCCCGGCCAGCACCAGGTTAGAGCTCTCCCTGGACAACAGGACTCTCACTATACGCCGTGTCACAAGGAATGACACAGGACCCTATGAGTGTGAAACTCGGAACCCAGTGAGTGCCGGTCATAGTGACCCATTCACCCTGAATGTTCTCTGTGAGTAACTTCCCTTCCTACCTGGCCCGGGCTGTCAGCCCAAATCCACATGCCGGGGGCCAGGCCCATCCATCCTTCCGGGGTCCGAGTCCATGACTCTCAGCTGGACCCCCAGGCTGGCCATTGCTTCTTGTCCCGGGCAAACCTGGGCAGGCCCAGCCTAAGCCAAGACTAGGAGGAGATGGGCTGCTCCTACCTGGGAGGGTCAGCAGCCTATGACGGGAATCAGGTGAATGTCTCAGACCCAGGCTCAGTGAACAAGGGGGATTCTACTGGAACTTTTTAAAATGAGGTTGGAACCCAGCCCAGTGGGACACTGTGGCCCTAATACACACCAGGAACTTCGGTTACACTCAGATTACATCACCTGTGGCTTTATTCTGTTTGCTCCAGATGGCCCAGATGCCCCCACCATTTCCCCCTCAGACTCCTATTACCGTTCAGGGGCCAACCTCAGTCTCTCCTGCCACGCAGCCTCTAACCCGCCCGCACAGTATTCTTGGTTTATCAATGGGAGACCCCAGCCGTTCACACAGGAGCTCTTTATCCCCAACATCACTGCGAATGATAGCGGATCCTATGCCTGCCTCGCCTATAACTCTGGCAC